CTTCGTGAGCGCATTACTATAATCATGGACTTAATACTTCAACAGGGACAGTCCTGGTCTAATTACGCTGGAACTTCAAAACAACCCTTTGGAAGAGGTTAAGGGTCACTTCTTAAAATGTCGCACCTTGCTCTACCTCGATTTGAACTCGTGCGGTATACGCCATCTGAACACGCAATTCTTCCACAATACAACGAATCTAAATAAACTCGACTTGTCTCATAATCCACTTGGACAAATTAAGCCTGGCCCGTTCGATCATCTCGCCAATTTGGAATACCTGAAGCTGAACGCTTGCAACTTGACCCACATTTCATCGATCGCGTTTGCCCATTTGGAAAATCTTCGAGAGCTCGAGATGGCGGAAAATGATCTACGCACGTTAAGTTGGACGAGTGTATTAGCGCCTTTAGTTCGATTAGAATATTTAAACATCAGAAAGACTGGCATCACCAATCTACCAGGCGATGCCTTCGCACAGAACTTATATCTTAGACAATTGGTCCTTGCTGATAATGAATTGTGGCACTTGGACGTTGGAAATACATTGGGTCATAACTTGCACAGTCTTCAATCGTTGGATCTATCGAATTGCAATCTGCAAGATCGCCTTTCCGAAGAGGCTTTCAAAAACGCTAGTAAACTGCGCGTGTTGAACTTGAGTGGTAATCCAATGTTCGCCGCTGATTTGACAGTTGTTCTGCGTCATTTGCCAAAACTTCATAAACTTTCATTGAGCAAATGCAGCCTGCAACGTCTACCAAACGCGTTCCATATTTTTAAACATTTGGAAGAATTAGATATCTCGCATAATCCTCTGACAGACGCGTTCGTCAGTTTACTAAACCCGCTAGAATCGTTAGAATATCTGGACATGTCTTATTGTAATCTTGGTTACGTTGGAAACAACACATTTGCTCACATGACTTTTCTCAAGAAACTGATCTTATCCGGAAACAAATTGCATACGCTAGAAGAAGGATTATTCGCTAATCTGACACGATTGGAGAGTTTAGAATTGAACAACTGCGATCTGAAGACTCCTATTGATCCCAAGGTGTTCGGTGATCGCATCACCACCGACATCATCGAACTCAAACTCAGTGGAAATTCTTTAGAAGTATCCGAGGATGGCCCCCTATTACCGACACAATTGTCCAATCTCGAAATCCTCGACCTCAGCAATTGTAATCTGACTCATCTGAATGAAAATCTCTTTTCCACGACGAAAAACTTGACCCAATTAAATCTATCCAGCAACACTATTTCCGGCACAGAGAATCTTGTCTGTCTAAAGAAGTTACGCATGCTAGAGCATCTGGATCTGAGCAACAACAGTTTGGCTACTATCAACCGGCGAGTTTTCAAGTTCAATTCACGTCTGTTATCGGTCAACTTACTGGGCAATCCATTCGTATGCAACTGCTTCATCACTGATATGTGGGACTGGGCTGTGCAAGTGAAGAACGATCTACACGTGTTGGTAGGCAGTCAACCGGCAAATTTCGAAACCGGTGCAGCGAAATTGAGAAAGAGCCTGTCCTGTACCTACGACGACGATACTTATCGCCAGATTGAGCAAGCTCGCGCTAGTGGTGATCGTCCTTCTAGAAAAGGCGACTTGTCCCGCACCCGTACCTGGGCGAAATATGTTCGTGAGTCGAATTGCGGTCGTAGTTTATGATACATAGCGAACAAATTTCAACATCCAATGCTGAATTTCTTTTACGAGAAGACACACAGCAGACAAAGAAGCGAGTTGTAACGTATCGTTGAAAACTGCAAGGCGTATGCAATTATACCATACACATTTACACGTGTACATATATAATTATGCGCCATTTTGTTAATAAGTAAGACTTATCTATTCCCCGAACGAAGCCAAAAAAACGTCCCTTTTACTTCTATGAGGCATATGACTTTATTTTTGTAGCTGGTTTCAATAGGATTAAGATGTATCGGTAAGATGTATCGCTTGATACGCATGTATCGAGCGATAAGATGTTGAAAAATTTTTATACGCGGAGATAATTTGACCTCGCGTTACATTTTGGTTGAATGGAATCTATGTATCGTATGTATTATTTCATGCGAGCATCGTCATCCTCGTAAAATCAGAAGATGGTGATCGATCATTCTTTTAGATGGGAACGATGACCATCTTCGACGAACTTCGACCCTTTCATAGTTTGAGGGAAAACGTATTTATACGCTGGAACGTTGTACTTGTATTTCGTTGAAGAGCGGGGCAATACGTCTAATGTCGGTTGGGATGATTAATGTAACGAGGGGTGATAAAAGAAAAAATATTTATCGATCGTCGGAACAACGGGAGGTTCTCGAATTATCAATCACTCTTTTACTTCGAATCTCTTTTGTGTTTCACAGACGCCTCTTTTTTTTCACACATTGATGCGAGAATTAATGGTCGAAATCTAAGACCATTCGTTGTTCCGATGACAATGGTGCCGTGTTTTTAATTAATCTCGCTCGAGGATCGAATTAATTCTCACATTTTATTCGCGTCTTACGTGAATAATAAAATTGAGTTGAATCAATTAATTGATAAAAATTGTAACAAAAAATTGTTCAATTAAATAATGCATATTAAATCAAAACAATATTCATGATAAAATGAAGAAATTCTTGGAAAAAGTTTAATCTTTACATTGAAATCGAACATAGATTCTATTTAAGCATTGAATAACGTAAAATCGTCAATTATCTTCGCGCAATTGCGTGAATAATTAATACAAGGTTTTTGCATGCTCGTACTTTTGTATCTATTATTTTTCTGTTATTATGCGAGCATGTTACGTAAATGAGTATGGATATCGCCAGATATATATTTCCATTTAGAAAAATATTTAGTTGTTCAAATTATTGACTTTCAACTGAATTGAAATTGATATTGATCATATTATTTTTTTAATTAATTAAAATAATTCGTGATTTGTTAACACAGTTCTACTTATAATTTCTAATCTTATAATTTATTGTTTATGATTTAAATTCTCTTTTTTTATTAATAATTTAATAATTAATAATTTAATAATTTAATCTAATTCTGTTTTGTTCTACTAATTGAGGATCAATGATTTCATAAGATTTATCATTTGTTCTTATTATTATTGTTAATAATAATAGTATATTAAATTCAATTATATAATCAATATATAATAGTATATTAGCTTCAATTAGTTTTTGTTTTTCTTTATAATATATTTATTAAGTTCAATAGTTGAGCGTATTTAGATTATTTTAGAATACAATTATTTTATAATTATCAAGAGTAATAATGTTTTTCAATTGTTACTACTTTGCAATTAATGTCACGTGCCGAAAAACATTTGTCTTCTTTGGAAATTGAATTTCGTTTATGTATTCATCTATATTTTTCTTTTGTAATTATTTGCTATATTTGAACCATAAAGTGTTCTTTGGCGGTGTTCATATATAAATATAGAATACTCTTATAAAATTTTGATTCTCATTCCTAATTCTTTCTTTTCTTAAAATTAAACAGAGGCGATTTAAATCTAATTTACATATTTGTATTAAATTATAAAACAATAGACATGTAAATCAGATTTTTAATTCACAAATTTACATAAAAACAAACATGAATAAAATCAAATGCCAGAACGATTTCACTATATTTATGAAATGTATAAGACTGTATTTAATAAAGAAATCATTTTCTTGGTACATGATTGTCTTTCTTTTTTTATTTTTACTGAACACATATACTACGTAGAGTATTATAATTTAAATTAATAATTTATTTTTTGTTGAAAATTAAATATAATTTCAAGTTTATGACAAATATTTATATATCTTTTATTTTAACAACTTTTTATCGATATTATTATAATTATCTGATAATTATTGATATAAAAATTGATTCAGTCATACCTACTTACATAACATATATGTCATGAACCTATTTTATCTTTAATTATATTTGACATTCCTAAATGTCATCAGAATATTTTTAAACAATTTTGAAACAGAAAAAATAAAAAAGGACTTTGCTTCTTGCATATGTTTTTAATATAATGCTTACTATTAAAATCTATTAAAAAAGACGGCGATTTTTAATAAAAAAAAAACAAATATTATAGTTCTTAGTTATCTATTCTATATATCTTTTTATCAATTTTAATTTAAAATCAATTTTAATTTTAAATTAAAATTTGTTAAAAGAATTTTTGTTATTTTTATTGCATAGATTTTATTATAATAAAAATTATATTATTTCGTTCCGTTTCGCAACTTATAGTATTATTTTTTGCTAATAAGTTAAATAATTATGACATAGAAATGTTATATTTTGATAATAATAAGAGATATAACATATAGTTAGTAGTAAAATACTGAAACGTAATTTCTGCCAATTATCGGAAAAATTAGTTAGATATTTTAAAAAATGATAAATATATAGATAATAAATAAAAAAAATAAGTATAGAAAATTAACGTAAATTTTTACTTACAATTTATATATATTTTTATATTTTTTTTGAAAAATCAAAATATAAATTCTTAATATTAATTTAAAAAATATAAAAATATAATAAAATTAAAAATTTTAAATAATAAAAATAATTTATCAATTGATTAATAAAAATTAATTGATTAAAGATTTTGTATATAATATAATTACAATCTGTTTTTGATTAAAGTATATTTTATATTTATTTATATTAATAGTTATCAGATCATTGATATATCAATATTAATATATCATTATATCAAAATATTATTTTTTTCCGTGAAATTTAAAATCAAAACCGAATAATTAATTAATCATCTTAATTTATGAAATATTATTCAGGTATGTAAACTTACATAATGAATTATTGCATAGAAATTAATTAAATTATTCACAAATTGATCATATCTTTATTGCACTTTTATATATTTCTCTTATGTTTGCAATATTATAAACTTTATTTCTCATTTCTCTAATCGGTCATAATGATAATATTTTATCACACAACAAATGAAAAATTTTTTATAATAATTTTTTCTGATCTTTGGACTGCAAAAAGAATGATTTCTTACTATACTTATAACAGTACTCGTATATATATATATACATATATGATATTATATATGATAAAATTATATGTTTAATTGTTAATTTTCTTTAATTATTGATTGTTTTATTCTTTTATTAATTATTTGCTATTATATTCTAAATTCTATTTTCATAAAATGTTCTTTAAAACAGCTTTTTAAAATAAATGCATTAAATAGAAACAAATTTATAATCTGAAATTATAACCTGAAAAAAATAATATATGTACATAATTATATCAGCTATATCACTAACCACAATTAGTAGATCTATATTCTATATTTATGTGTTTTGACTAAAGAAATAGAGTATTACATATTTTATTACATATATACATTATTACATTTATTATATAATATATTTGAAGTAATAAAACATATTATTATAATATTGACATATAATTTTCAATATTATAACTAAAAAAAATTAATTATAACTAAAATAATTATAATTAAATAATAACTAAAATTAATTATAACTAAAAAAAAAAATTTTTTAAATTATATAATTAGAATAAACATACTGTAATTAATTAGTTTTTATTCTGTTCTATTCTATTTTCTAGTAGTAAAAAAAATAAAATATACAAAATAAATAATAAATAATAAAAATAAATGAATATAATTAAATTAATTATAATTTAAATAGAAAATGACTTCCAAATTATAACTCTTATAAAATAGGTACGATTTATTGAAAATAAACGATGTGACATACATAACGACATGTAGATTATATTCATAAACACTAATACGAGTGAAATGTTGCGGCTTCCAGTCACATTTGTTACATATATACAGAGAATTATTGTTTGCATCGAAATTGTTTCATATAAAACCATGATAAAACTTTAATTAAAATGTAGATATAATCGAATCGAATAAAAAACTGTTTCTTAATATGTCACTAATATGAAATGATAAAACAATAAATTGCAATATTATAATTATAAATAATTAAAAAAAATATTGTTTACATATTATTATATTCATTAATCTTAACCCTATCAATTGATATGTAAAACGTGCAGAATTCACTTTCATTGATAGTGATAATATAAAAGTTCAAATGATCGCATTATGTAATTCCTCGTTACATACTTTGCACACGACTCCCATATTTCTGGACGTGTATACGTACAAAATGACGTGACGAGTTAGTTCATGAGTGTGGGAGCGGATCCATTGGTGTGCACGTGACTGAATCTCGAATATATGTCTATGTCGTATAGTCGGTGCATAAGTTGTGGTATTGGTTGGCTGTCTAGTAAGCTAGTTGGCCGTCCAATTATTTAAACATCATCCGCGCAGTCGCGCGAGTCTGTCTCAATGCTTAACCATCGGTTGTGTACCGGCATTCAGCAAGTAAAGATTATCAGTACTAGTCAGTGGTCTCTTGATCAGTGATATTGCCTGACGCTGCCTCTGTCAGCAGTCTGTCGGACGTATCGATAGAGTACACGATGTTAAGTATATTTGAACCACTTCTCGACATTCCGGTTGTCTACTACGGGGCGCTGCTGGGCGTTGGATTCTGTATCTATTATCTTTTTGAAGTAGTTAAAGTAAGTACTTAAGTATTTACACGATTCTTCTTTTTTCATCGAATTATTTTTTACGATTTTTATCGTTAATAAATTCATAATTATAAGTTTTTTTCTGAAAGCAATAAATAAATAAGAAATCATGACTTATAAAAAAAAATTAAAATTAAATATGTCATATTATTGTTTCAAATATTTTATGAAATTGATATTGATAATATATCATAAGAAAATAACTTAATGATATAATTATATATCGATTTCAACGTTAAAAATGACACACATTATTTATTTTATTTTAAAAAAAATATGTACTTTAAAAGAATTATGTTTATAAATAATTTTTGAACTGAAAAATGTGAAATTAATTAATACTTATAATTTCATAATATTGGTAGATTCCATGTAATAATATTTTATTTTTCAATCAATTTCAAATCAAATTATACGTGACAATAGTTAACAAAGCTATTCATAAGTTTTTAACTTTCATTAAATTCAATCATCACATTTAGTTTAGAATTACGAATCTTTCAAGTATGACTTATAATAAAAAAAAAATTTAATTAAAAACACACAAATTAAATCATTGATAATCAAATTTGATATAAAAATATATTTATATTTATTATTTGATTTTACATTATAATTATTATTTAATTAATAATATACTTTTTAACAATCTTCATATAAAAAATTTGTTTATAAATGAATTAATATTATAAATTATAAAACAAAATTAAAAAAATTAATATTTTATTAATATCATTAATATAAACAGTTTTATTTTTTAATATCCATAAGATTTTAAATTAGATTTTAAATATTTTTTATTATTTATTATTTCATGTTAACATTAAATAGATTAAAAAATAATTTTTTTCGGTATATTTAAAGTGTATAATAATTATATCTATATTTGATTGATTTATCTTTGATTTAAAGATATCCAAAGTCGAAAAATTTTTTATTATCATATTAATAATATATTGGGCCTGATATATTATCAGGATTTCCGCGATACGAATACATACTTCGAACTCTCACACGACCCTTCGTAGTTCGTACGAGTCACGAGGAGATGTACGATCTATTAATTTGACCTTAAAACTCCGAGGCACTTGCCCCGACCAATTGTGCACGTATAGTGTACGACGCGCAATGCACGCACACCGGAACAGGTGATATCGTACTTTTAGTAAATAAAGAATAATATAGTGTTATAATAATAATAAATAATAACTTTACATTATATGATTAATCCTGTTTAAATAAATAATAAATAAAAATAAATAATATTTAATTCACTTTCATTCAATTAAAAGAAATTAATAAATATAAAAAATTAATTTGATATAATGTATATTGTGTATAGAAAAGTAGAAAATATATAAAAGATAGTTTCACAAAAAATAAAAAGACAAAAATTATATATAATTAATATTTTGTTTTTTTATAATTACAAAATTATCGATAATGAATTATTTAATGAAATATTTGTATTTGAAAAGCATTTTAAATATCAAATATAATAATTTTTTTCATTTTTTCATCTTTATTTTTTAATAAAGATGAACTGCTAAGTTCAATGAATGGTATAGAATAGACCGATTTAACAATCAATTACAGAAACATTGTGCTCGTCTACGGACATTATATTGAGCCTTGCAAATACATGTAACGAACATTTATTTTTTCTTGACGTTATAATTGTTATATATATTAATAAAAACAAATATTTCAATAATTAACAAATTATTGAATTATATATAAACATCATTTGAGTTTCTTAAATAATATTCAATAGACAGAAAAAATTTTAAATTAATTCAAACTTAAAATATTTAATATCAATTATATACATATGCATGTAATCATTTTCAGAAATCAAATTAAAAAATATTTCGCATTATTATTACATATTAATTATTTCGTATAAATAGTTAAATAGTGTTTCGTATAAATAGTTTTTTAAGATAGTTTTAAGATATTATTACACTCTTTTTAATTTATTTTGATGCTTATTTTATTTTAATAATATTTATTAAATATTTAAATAACGAAACACATAACTTTTTAAAAATTAAATATTACATAAACATTAAATAGAGAAAAATAGAAGATACTAAAATAAAAGTAGAATGATATAATTATTTTAATGGATTTTTCAAAAAAATATTTTTTTTTTCATATTTTTACATCACAAATTATTATGAAATAATTAATATGAATTTAAATACGAGAGGAAAGAAGAAAAAAAGAAAATAATTTACAATTATTCATTACAAGTAACTCATTACAATAATTATGACATATATAAATATATAAATATATAAATATTAATTAAATCCGATTTATTAAAATCAGAGACAATAATTAGAATTCAAAATTTATAGAAGAAAAACGTTATAAAAATTGAAAATAAATAAATATGTTACTTGAATTTTGATATTCTCTATAAATTATCTTTAATTGTCAACTGTTCAATTTCAATATTTGTTCATTAAACTGTTTATTACACTAATAAATTAATGAGGAAAAATTAAAGATCTTTCTATATGATTTTCAGACACCGATGCTAGTATGCGCAAATGGACCATTCCGAGAGTTTTTAGAAGAACATGTACCTTTGGTGAGGAATAAATTTTGGCCAACCTTATGGTGTTTCGAATCAAGGGCACAAACAATTATAGCCAGCATTCTTAGATCTCGAATCTTGCCACCAATTCACTATCGCAGGTTGGTAAGTTTACTTTTAACATTTGTCGATGGAACTTATGCGTCATTGATATTTTTTCTGATTCATTTTTTGCATGATACATAAATTCGTGCGTCATCGATAATTTTTGAAGAAATTTAGAATTAAAAATATGATATAAGCAAATATTAATAAGCATAATTAAACTTTAATTATCTTAGATTCGTTTTAATTTAATTAATCGATCGTAACGCAGAGAGATTCTGACCTTGTCAGATGGAGGTGAAGTGGCCTTGGATTGGGCAGAAGAGGGATGTTCTGCTGTTTCGCCAATTGTGATTATTTTGCCAGGACTCACTGGTGCAAGTCAAGCGGAATATATTAAGTGCCTTGTCTCATCCGCGAAAAAAGTTGGAATACGATGCGTAATCTTCAATAACAGAGGGTTAGGAGGCGTAGAATTGAAGGTAAAGCAATACTTAATCTTCTGACCTTTTAACGACAAGTTATGATCTCATTAAGTTGCAAGATCATTGTCATCATTTATAGGGAAATATACATGGAAATAAAAAAGATCATATGAAAAAGACTGAAAGATTTGGAATAGAAATTTAGTCAGATAATCATATAAAATTTCAGACTCCACGAACATATTGTGCTGCAAATAGTGATGATTTAACAGAGGTTGTTGACTATGTAAAGAAGATTCATCCCAATGTACTTCTTGGAGCGACGGGAATCTCAATGGGAGGGTAATAAGAAAATCTTTTTTAACATAAAATTAAATAAATCATACATATAAATTATTTATTAAAAAAAACTATTACGAAAAATATAATCAATATATGGCATATATTATATTGTCATAATAATATTCTTTATCATGTATATATTTTTTTAGATTAATTTTAGGCAATTATTTAGCACGACAAGGAAAAATAGCCAAAAATAAATTGAAAGGATGTTTCTTGATTTCTGTGCCATGGAACGTATTTGCCGCGACAAAGAGCACAGAAGAGAATTATTTTAACTTGATTTTAAATAAATATTTAGCCTTTTCACTTCGTCAACAAGTAAAACGCTTGCATTATTCTTCGGAAAGTGGAATGTTCGATGTTGACATTGATTCTCTTCTTAAAGTAAGATTTTGATTATTTTTATCAAACTATCAAATATAAAAGAAAATAGAAATACATATATAATTATATGCAAAAATATTTCTCTTCTCTTATTTAGAGTCAAACTGTAAGAGAATTTGATTCACAATTTACGGTGAAACAATTCGGCTATAAAGATGTAGAGGATTATTATTCCAACGCAACTATACATGATAAATTACATTTGATTGACGTACCATTATTGTGTCTTAGTGCTGCGGATGATCCATTTCAACCAGTTCAAGGTAACTTAATCAATCGACTGACTGCATTAGTTATGCTTATTTTTAAAATGAGTTATTTGAAATAAATTATTTGTGATTATTTGAAATAATTTTGTTAATACATTTTATTCTTCTTATCGATATTTAGCCATACCACTGAAGGAAATATCACAAACTAAAAAAGTAGCTGTTGTTGTAACATCTCGTGGCGGACATATTGGTTTCATGGAGGGTATGTGGCCGGTAAAAGAAGAACAATATATGGGTAAATTATTTTCACAGTTTTTTACCGCCCTATTCACTACTAATTTAGAGCATCAATTATTGTGACGAACTTATAAACTAAATATCAAATACATTCACAAATATCAAATATCAAATATTTCGTTTACATTCGAGTATTGTATAAAAATTATCACGTGCCATAATTGAAGATTGGACATGGAAAAGGTTATGAGTAAAATATATTATATTATGATGAAACTGATTCATCTTTTATAATATAAAACTTTTTTTTATGTTAATAAATAATATTTTTATTTATTGAAATAAAGATATCAAAATTTAGTATATGTAAAAAATAATTAATTTTTATATATTTTATCAATAAATAATATCTTAATGAAAAAATTCTTTTACATATATAGTTTTTATTACATCCAGTCTTCAATTAATCGTGTTCAGGGTATTGCACATATGTGATTTTATTAGTATTAAGAAATATCAAATTTTCACATCGCTTTTACATTAAAAATTGTTCAATAATTACCTTTGGGACATTGATATCTATAATATAGATATAATTTTTTACACATGAATATTATAAAATATGTAGGGATAAAATATATTATATTTATTTTTAATATTATAAGTTTTTATTATTAAATGTTATTATGCATATCAATATTCAAATTAAAATAAATAAAAATTTAATTTCATTTATTTATATTGTATGCAAATTTTGCTTCAAATTATAAAAACTTTATATCATCTGAAATATAATTTTATAAAACATAAATCTGCGAAAACAAAATTGTAAAATAGAAAGAAAAGTTTATAATCCTAAAGTTCCTAAATGTTTTAAAAATTAATATCAAAATTTTATTAATAAATTGTTAATTTTTAAAAAATAGAAATAACACTTCACATTTAAAAATTTCATATTAATTGTGATATTAAAAGCAAAAATATACATATTGTTAAATTTTATATATAGTTTCTGTTATAAACTTTATACATAAATAATATATTGTAATAATATATTGTAATAAAATATTGTGAAGAAAAATATACTGTAGTATTTCAAAATATTTTCCTTTAAAATTTCTTTAATGTTAAACCTATATAGAAAATAAAATATTAATAATAAAAAATTATTTATTTTTATTTAATTATTTATATTTAATAAAAAAATCTATATAATTATATATTCATAAAATTATTGAATTTTAAAAGACAATAAAATAAATTGGAAAACATTTTGTATTTTTCATATATCTTACGAAAATAGATAGTAAATTAGTAAATTACATGAATTTTTTATTCTATAGAATAAAAATTTTTCTTATAAAATAATTTACTAAAAAATATTCTTCTGTATTTCATAATACATATAATAATAATGTGAAAATACTTTTCCAATTATAAATATTAAAAATAATCCTGCTTTTTACTGTTAGAAACAAAATAGTTTTTTCTATTTTTTCTCTATTTGACATGCTAATAATATTGTATTATGCGTATATATTCAACACAAATTAAAGATAATGATTGAAGCAGGACAAAATACAAAAAATATGCTTTATGAATAGAATTATATTAAAAGACTTATGCATAGTATCAAATGTAAGAATGTTAATATTCTTAATATGTTATAATTTGAATTCTAAATCCAATGATTTCACAATAAATGCTAAAATATCTGTACTTTCTTCAATCTAAAATAAAAAAATATTCTATAATGACATGAAAATTATATATATAGTACAAATTAATTAATATTAAAAAATTTACTAACCACTTTCATAGTTGGTTTTCCACCACCATGTCCAGCTTTAGTCTCTATTTTAATTAATAAGGGATTCGTTTGTTGCGGTAATTTTCCTAACGTATACTGTAGAGTAGCGATAAGTTTTAGACTATGTAATGGTACTACCCGATCATCGTGATCGGCAGTCAATAATAATGTTGCAGGATACTGTCCATTTTCTGGAACTCTTACATTATGTAATGGGGAATATTTTATAAGATTTTCAAAATGTTTTGAATCATCTGAACTACCATAATCAGATACCCAAGCAACACCAATAGTAAATTTATGGAAACGTAACATATCCATTACTCTATACAATAGATGTAGAATACATTAAAAAAAAAAAAA